ACATTATCACACAACTCTTCTTTATCACAAGGAACAGCAAGTAAATCAACTTGTGACAAAGGCAACTCAGCAATTGATTCCACTAATGGTTGCTCTACTATAGCATGAAAAGTGGACAAGTGTAGCTCACCTTGAGAATACTCACCTTCATTTCTCTCAGCACCATTTAATTTACCTTGCGAACTTTCTTTAGACATCGCAGGTGCTTCATCCTCTTTCTTCTCAAGTATACCATTCACCTTTTCTTGGATGTGCTGATCTTCCTGCAAAACGTTAGTAACAGGGGAGACAAAAGATTGCTCCTCCAATGTTTGCACATCATCATTACATAAGTATATTGGGGATTCAGAAATAGGAGATAAATCACATTGGTCATGCATCCTCGCCTTTGATATGATCTGACTCTCAATGCTACGAGCAAGCATGAATAGGTGCCCAATATGATTATATGTCACACTATCAAGCAAAACCTGAATTTCAGAACTAGGCCCATTGAAAAATCTACGCGTTGTATTTTCATTGCACTCTTTGAGACCACTGTAGATGATACAGACCTTAAATTCATGAATGTACTCCCTAACAGTTCTGTCACCTTGTTTCAGATGTTCTAATTTCTCCCGAAGAGTACATTTGTAATAAGATGTCACAAAGCGTTTTCTCATCATGGTTTTCAATTCATCCCAAGTTTCAGGTTTATTACTAACATAAGTCCACCAAAATAAAGCAGAAGAGGTAAACTTATTACTAGCAGCCTTAATCATTTGAGCATCAGAAAAATCATATATATCAAATTCATTGTCTACTGCTAGCTCCCAATCAATATATGCAACAGAATCATACTTCCCATCATAGAATGGTAACTTAGATGCAACTTGTTCAAAATTATAGTCATGTACCTCATATGCATAACGTGGAGAAGTCGTCATATCTCGTCGAAGGTGTAGAAGTTGATGTTCTCGTATTCCCTTACGCAATCCGGGCATGGTTAGTATGAAACAAGAAACACACAAAAATATGCACGCTCCTATCAACTACTAGGTAGTGGCAGCTCAAATATCACACACACTCAAGCTCTTACAAGTTTTTACCAAAGCAAGCGGAATGGTGATGTACACCGACTTAACCAAGCACCCCAATGGAGGTTGGATGTATCGATGCCTTGGCAAACACTTGTTGTACGGCTGCAATCAGATCTGTGGAGCTCTGGGTAGGCTTAAATATGTAGCCAAGGGATAGCAAATGCTCAAATCAGAGAATGCAAAGTTGAATAATGGTTCAAAGTCAAGTACCGTGCTGGTCCTAGGCTAGAACGTACTAGAGACGCGAGCCTAGACACAAACGATACCACAAGATAGCAATAGTAACAACTCATGCACAACTCTGATATATGAAGTTCAGCTCAAACATAACAGTATTTTCTCTTTTCTTTCTTTATTCTTTCTTCTTTTCTTTTTTTTTCTTTCCTTTTCTTTTCTGTTGTTTTTTTTGGTGCGGCTTTTCTTTTCTTTTCTTCTTTTTATGCACCTTTCTGCCTTTTTTTTCTCACTTTTTTTCTTGATTTTTTTTAACAAAAACTGACTCAAGGACCTTAATGTAAGGTTACAGGGACTCAAATGTAAATATAAAATTTACAGGGACTCAAATGTAAAAGTCTAAACCTAAAATTAAAATTATACAAAAATGGAATGCTGAATTTATGCCGGTTCCGTTTTTTTCAAACAGATCTCGAAACCGACACCAAACGAAATTTCACCAAGGTGTTTGACACAACTCAGAACTGAGATAACGTGATTTGGAGAGGGAGGAGGGAGTCGGACTGTCACGGTGGTGGTGGGTACGGTAGGTGGGAGGGTTCGGCCTGGCCCTTCACAAGTGGAAACCAAATCCAATAAAAAAAAACTTTCCTTTTCTTTTCTTTCCTTTTTTTTTCCTTCCACCCCACCGAATCCAAACTGATCTACTATATTCCTTTATTCTTCCTCGCACACATGCACGGCACAGCCACCGAACAGAAGCTATGCAACTCAAGAACTCAAAAACTAACCGACAAAAACTTCTGAAAACTACAAAAATAGAATCGTGGCAGCGAGCTGATTCCGTTTTCGTAGGTCCCGACGACAACAGAGACACGGAGGCGACGACGACTGTAGTATAAAACGTGACCAGAACTCGAAACTCTAAACGGACTAAACGCTAAGACCAGCAACACGACTCGACGATGCAACACAGATTCAACAAAGCAAAAACTGAAAAGAACAATGCAATGGCACAATATGGCTAGGTAAATGATACAATTTTTTTGTCTGGCTATTTTTTGGTTATAGGTAGAAGAAAACTCACCGAGAAACGAAAGCTCTGATACCACCTGATGAACCCTGAGTTCCACTCGTCACTCAAGGCTATTGTTGGCCCGATCTTTCGGTGAGTTGAAATAACTACGATTTGTGGAAAAACGTTGACGATCCGACTACAACCGTACGAGACGTTGTGTTGCGCCTTAGTGATCGATACACCTCTCCGTGGGTTGTTGATCTTGCCGGTGAAGATCAACCCTATTCCTGCAAGCAAATCGAAGAAACAAGCAAGAACAAGATAAAAGCAATCTGATATTGCAAATAGGAATTTAATACAAATGATAAGTTGGGGTTCCGAAGAACAAGCAGACGGACGGTCTAGCCGACACGCGCGCTGCAAGCAAGTAGCAATGGCAAAGCGTGACGACCGCGGGCACATCGTCAAGCATAAGGCCCACCTCGTCACGAAAGGCTACATCCAGTAGAGCGGCATCGACTTCGACGATGTGTTTGCGCCGGTCGCAAGACTGGAATCTGTGAGGCTGATCCTTGCCGTTGCTGCGCATCAGGTCTGGCAAGTCCACCACATGGATGTTAAATCCGCGTTCCTGAATGGGGAACTTCAAGAGGAGGTATACGTGCAGCAGCCACCAGGATTCACCGTCGGCAAGGAAGGACAAGTCCTGAAGCTGAACAAGGCTCTGTATGGACTATGGCAAGCACCGCGAGCCTGGTACTCGAAGCTTGATGCATGCCTCGTCTCCCTCGGCTTCACCCGTAGCGACCACGAACATGCGCTGTACACACAGCGATATGCGCACAAGCCGCTAATCGTGGGAGACGACCTCCTCATCACTGGCCAGGATGCTGGTGACATAAAAGAGTTCAAGTTGGAGATGCTGCAGCAATTCAGGATGAGCGATCTCGGCATGCTCTCCTATTATCTGGGAATTGAGGTACGCCAAGATCACAACGGCATCTCTCTCTCTCAGTCTGCATATGCCTTGAAGCTCTTGGAGAAGACTGGGATGGTGGACTGTAATCCCTGTCACGCTCCTATGGAGGCCAAGTTGAAGCTGAGCAAATCCAATACTGCAGCTCTTGTTGATGCCACATACTATCGCAGCATTGTTGGTGGCCTACGATACCTCGTCAATACAAGGCCTGATCTGGCTTTCTCTGTTGGCTATGTGAGCCGTTTCATGGCGGAGCCGCGCGAGGATCATATGGCTGCATTCAAGCACATACTGAGGTACATCGCCGGCACCCGAGATCATGGTGTGTCGTACTCAGGAGGCAAGACAGAGGAGCTGAAGCTGATTGGGTACAACGACAGCGACATGGCCGGCGACGTCGACGACCGCAAGAGTACCACTGGCGTGCTGTTTTTCCTTGCTCAGATCCCCATCACCTGGCAATCTCAAAAGCAGAAGGTGGTGGTGCTCTCTTCTTGTGAAGCAGAGTATGTGGCTGCGACAACGGCTGCGTGTCAAGGGGTGTGGTTGCAGGGGCTCCTCAGCGAAATACTTGGAGCGCCAGCGACGACGCCAATTCTCAAGGTGGACAACAAGCCCGCCATTGCTCTATCAAAGAACCCGGTTCACCACGATCGAAGTAAGCACATCCAAACTCGTTTTCATTTCATTCGAGAGTGTGTTGATGCCGGGAAGATCATCATCGAGTATGCCAGTTCAGTGGAGCAGCTAGTTGATCTGCTTACCAAGTCCTTGGGAAGGCAGCGTTTCCAGGAGCTGAGCGAGCTTGTTGGTGTGATCAACACAAAAGGCCAAAGTTGAACTTCACAAGATTTAGGGGGAGATTTGTTACAAATAAACTTGTGTCGATCTGCTTTGTGTTTTTGGTTCTGGTAGTTTTTCCCTCCCCTGTTTTTCTGTTGATTCTGTTAGAGTCACGCACATGACCTCGCTGGTTTTTCGGCCGTGTGCGACGTTGGGCTCGTCGTGTGCGTTTAGTTCGCACGGGAGCGCGTCATGCGCAGGCACGATCCTGGTGATTGGGATGGCAGTCGCCGTTGAGGGATCGTGTCCGCATCAACCGGGCCAACGTGCCCATGATCTTGTATTCGCAGAATAAAAGGAAGAAGACAAACAGAAAATGCTGCTCAGTTGTTCGCAGTGCCAAACATTTGTGTTCTGTGTGATTACTGTTCTTCTCTCTCGCGTCCACGTTCGCGTGCGTTACGGGTTTTTTTGCTAACAGATCTTTCTATGTTGTGATCTCCCCGGCCAGAGGAGGAGGGATGTGCGGCGGTGTGCGGTAGGTGCTCTCCTCCGGAATCGCCGCCGCCGTTGCGTGGTGGTGGTGGTGCCGATCCCACCCCCTACCCTCCCCCCCCTCCCCCCGCGGTCGCTAACTCTCCGTCGTGCCTGGAGAGAGAGGAGAGGGGAGAGGGGGAGGTGGAGTGGGAATGGCACGTGGGCCCCACCACTTTTTATTAATTTTGGTGTGAAACTGACATGTGGGTCCCACAGGGTTTATTATTTTTCTATACCGAATTGCCGCGTAAGCACCACGTCAATGCCAAGACCGAGTCAAATTAGCTGGTAAACGCCACGTCAGCTAAAACCGCCATCCAAACTGCTGAGGGACAGTCAAGGGATCCGTTGTATCTTGGTTGAAAATCGGATTCATCGATAAGTTAAGGGACCTCGGTGAACTTATTTCTCGTGTACCTTCATCGATCCAGCACCAATCTCAACGTGCGCAGCGCCGGAGAAAAATCCGACCAGACTTTTGTTTGTTCAGCTCTTCACTCCCCCATCTCGCACTCAGATCCCGCCGCCGCCCGCCGCCGCCGCCGCCGCCATGGGCTCCGCCCACTCCTCCCACTCCTCGGTGTCCACGGCCGCCGACATGGACGAGGACGACGACGACGAGCCATCGGCCGCGTCCGCCGCGGCTCCGGCCCCTCCGGCGCCCGCGCCGGCTCCCCCGGCGTCCGCGTCCAAGGTGCTCGAGCAGGAGCCCGAGGAGCTCCCCTGCCGCGCCGCCGACTCGCCGCTCTCGCCGCAGCCCTCCGCCGCGGGGACGCCGCGCCTGCTCGCCGCGGGCCCCACCATCAAGGTGTGGGACCCGTGCCACGTCCTCCTCCCCCCGCCGTCGCCGCACCAGTCCCAGTCGGCGCGGGCCGGGGCCGGGGCCGAGGCCGCCGCCGCGCTGGAGGTGGTGGTGGTCAGCCACGGGGAGTGCGCCGCGGCGATGCGCCCCGACCTCGTCGGCGGGCGGTGGCCCGCCGCGGCGCTCACGGCGCGCGGGGAGAGGCAGGCCCGCGCGCTCGCCGTGTTCCTGCGATCCCGCGGCGCGCGCCTCGCCGCCGCGTACGCGTCCCCGCTTGACCGCGCCCGCGCCACGGCCGCACTGGTCTGTCGGGTGAGCGCCTTCTTTGGCTTCCCTCCCTAGCATATTCCATGCTTCTGCATTGCGCTTGTTCAGTTTAGGTGTAGGATTTTGTGGCACTAACATGTACTAGGATTGAACAGAAAATATTAGTTCTGGTTTCTCCATTCTGATTTGTGATTGTTTTATGCGATATTGCGATTCGGAGGAATTGTCTCAAAGATGGCAGCATTGTTTGTAGCAAAGCTGCAAGCCTGCAACATATCATGCATTTGAAATCAGTGCCCTTTAGCAATGGGGGATTTCACCTAATGTGATCTTGAAAATTAGCGTTAATGAAGTGATTTCGGTTAGCCTTCAGGCAAAGCACTTGTGGGCTTGGTGTGGGGATGGGATCTTTGTGATGTGATGGGGCAAAAATTGCTAAATGCTTGTGTTATGCAGTAATGCAGTGCATCCTTACTCTGTTACTCATCATGGTCTCATGGATAGCATAGGAGTGCATGGGCCATAAGATACATGCTTCTGAATAGAGCATTTAGCAGTATGTAAAGGGCGTCCGTTCAAAATTGATGCTGTCTTGGGTCAAAGTCTCTTCAAAGTTTGCTGGTGAAATTAGCTCAAATCATAGTCATTTGATCTCTTTTGGTCTACACCATGGCCATCAATAAGCCTAAATGTGAAGTATGAAAGCACTTATGAGTTACGGTGACCTTCGATCTTGTCAACAGTGCAGGACCTGACAGTTCCACTTATAGGTACAAAAAGACATTCGAAAGAATAAACATCTGAAGGAAATAGGAGTGAGTCATTTCATTGCAACCTTCTTGATATACTTCTGAAGGGAGTACCCTGGGTCTGCTACTTTGAAATGGTAAATATTTAACTGTGCAAATGTTGGAAGACAAAATTAGGGGCATTAATGAAAACTAGCTCTAGATGAGATGAGCCTATTCTTTAGTAGTAAAAGGTAGGCAGCTTTGAAGGATCTCTTATTGCCTTTATGTAACCGGTTGACAGGTGTATTGCATTTCCACCCTTGCAGTTGCAGTCTGTCTCTGTTTTTTCTTGTCTTATAACAGCCCTAATATTCCTTGTTTGTCTTTTACATGGACTGATGTCAAAGAAAAGGAATAATTTTGTATTTGCGAACATTACAAAATAGTGACATGGGGATACTCTGCATGCTAAAACAATGCTTTCAAGGCATGCTCAATTGACTTTATTTTTGATAAAATTGGTGGCTATGAGTTGTGAGGACAGTCTGGCAGAGCTACAGCTGGACTTTAATTGGGTTTTGCTATGAGAGCAGTTATTCTTGTGCACGTAATTTTTCTTGCTCCCACAGAACATATGGCTTCTTATGCCTTCATCATCAATTGTAACCTGACATCATGATCATTAGGCACTTATTTAATGTGTATTTGTGCTTTAGTGGGCGTAACTGTCTCATCTTAGTATGTTTGTTGGATTGGGTGGCCCAATTACATTTCATTTGAAACAATTGTCATGCCGTATGCATCTATGGTAGTATTGGCTAGCCACTGAATTATGGGTCTATGATCATTGGTTATCTGTTCCTTTGAAAGTGTGTTCCGTTATTCCAGTGTTCACAACTCATGACCATGGAATGCAGCTTGTATGGGAGCTGGAGCACACCCTCTGGTGAACATACAAACTGTCCTCTTATGCATAAGAGAGTTCACGCATAGAGGTTCTGCCATAATTACGTGTTTCCCGCCAGAATAAATCAGCAAAATAAAAAGGTGTATTTATTTCATGTATAAATACCCTTGTCTCAAACTCATATCGTTATTTTGCATAGATTTAGATTGACTTGCAAACTCTAGTAAGTGGAAAAGGCAGAATTGTTTACCCTCATGCTAAAAGTTTAGTATCTGGATGTTTTTATATTAGTTAGCTCCCCTTTTACCTGCCTGCATCCTTTCTGCTCTGTCCCTAAAAGTTTCACCTAGATTTCTAGCCTCTAGGATTGAATTCAATTTGAGATTACAATCCATTATTCCATAGATTTATCCTGGGCAGAAAAGCCCAATGCCTTGAAATTTTTTATTGTTAATCACTGGTAAGGCTGGTTATCCATTATGTAAACAAATGAATGCAACTATCCTGGTGTCTACTGGACACTGGCAAGGGACATGTGCCTGCTAATCTGCTATACAAGTTTGACTCTCACGCTATCAAATGGTGACTTACATATTCTTGTGTTGTAGACTTGTCACTGTCAGTCTTGGACCCAAATGCCATAAGTCAGGAAAGACAGATTGAAGAAGCTGGGGTTCAAACCCAGGATTTCATCAACTCGCTGCTTTACTGTTGGGCAGGCTGGGTGTTCATCAATGTCATGGCTTCAACAGCCTTAGTTTTAAAAATCACACATATCTATCAAAAAATCACAAATAATATTTTGCTGGTACAAAATTCTATCCAAACCTAGTACTTCCCTAGTAATGCCAGTTATTTCTGACACTACTATCTGGGATAGGGATTTTCCCTGGTCCTGGGATGTAAATGTAACTGAAATTTATATGTCATTCATTGCTCTTAGCTTTTGGGCCCAGGTCCACATATTATTCAGACACCCGGATTTTTTTGGAAACTATACCTCCCAAGCTACTTTGTGCTATGTAGGTATAAACTTATATCTGAAACTATATCTGGAACATGTAGCATTTGACAAGTAGTGGTCCTGCAAATGTGCAGTCTTGTTTTAATTATTAATTAGGGAAGCGGAGGAACTACAGCAGATGTTATTTTCCCTCTTCATTAGTTTTTATATATATGCATTCCTCTGTTTACGTTTTCTTTTGATTGGTCTTCAGCACTGCAGTTCGTGACATCTGGCAATGTTAATCTGCAGGAACTTGATTTTCCAGAGGAGCAGATTCAAGTATCAGATGCTCTGACTGAGATGAGTCAAGGTCAGTGGGAAGGCTGCCCGAAATCAGAAGTATATACTCCAGAAATGGTCAACCTGATGGATAGCACTCAGCCAGATTTCTCAGCGCCTGCTGGTGAGTCTCTCAGGCAGGTACAGTTTCGGATGATGGAATTCCTTAATCAGACAGTCGTACGGTTACCAGAAAAGGTGGCAATGGGGGACTCACTATCACAACAAAATGAGGCGAAGGGTCTGTCTCGGCAAAGTTCCACCAATTCTGTCCAAGATGGTCCCCCTTGGGATTTGCTTTACAGGCTCAATCGGCATAGCCTCCAAAGGAAAAAATCTGGGAAAAGCCGGCTTCAGTTTGTCACTTCAGGCGACAATGAGACTGAGGATGACTTCTCACCAAAAGAAATAAATCAAAGGCATATCCTTCATGAAGCAAATCTAGCACCCTCGGTCACCTCCATTGCAATTTTCAGTCACGCAACTCCCATCCGATGCCTCGTTGCTGGCGTGCTGGATTGCAATCCTATGATATCCCAGAGAATTTGCATTGAAGATTCCTCCATTACAGTTCTTGAGCATTCACTAAAAACAGGATGGCAAATAAAGAGGCTGAATGATACTGCTCATCTCAGACTTCTCTAAATGCAAGCAAGCTGTTGTGCTACGCTGTTCGAGAGGAATGTATCTCTTTGTGCATTGTACAGAAACTATCAGATCATATTCCTCAGATCAGATGCCAAGGCCATCGGAAGTGGGAGTCTTCTGATTGTATTTCATTTGTATTTACTGACATATCTAAATGCCAGGAAGATCTGGCCCTGTGATAGTGTTGTATTGTATTTGTTATTATTCTTTTTTTCTTGAGCTAAATTATTTGGTCAAGTGTAATTTCCATGTAAGGGGGGATACATTTTTAATGTATCATTCTTTTTGCCGATCACTCTGTTTTCATTTTAATTTATCATTTTTTGTGCATTGTCCTTGGATTAGTTCCATCAAAACTTCTTGAGGGTAGATAATCTACAGTGGATGGTAGGGGAAGATATGAAAATTGTACGCATTTTGTAGACTAAGGTTACCTTCAGTTGTTAAAGATGTAATTTGGAATTTTGCGATAGTTGAGAGTGTTTGTTCCGATTTAAAAATAAATTAGAAACTAACTGTGGTGTATGGAACGATGCCAAACCTTATTAATTATCTTCTTGTTAGCATTGGTCCAATATTAACCATGGACATATTGTGTTGTGATGGCAAGGAACAAAACAAGAAAAGCGAAGCAAAAGTGTAAGTGAGACAGGCTGGAAGATAGGCCTGGACATTGTCCATCTACTACTACATGGTTTGGTTCACTTAGGGTATTCATAATGCAGTGGAATTGCAGATAATAATCATTAAATACATCTTTGTTATCACTTTAGATTTCATGTTTAGAGATTTCTTTTAGGTGGATCCCACCTACCCATTTTGCACATGCATATATTATTATCTCTCTAATCTGTTATTATTATCTGACACAGTCCATCCTAGCACTTAGTTTTACAACAAATATTGAGGAGATGCCTTAACAATGTCCAGTGTAGGTGAGGTTGAACAATCACCAACCGTATCATTGCCATCTCCACAATAAAATTTTGTGTTCCTATTCTGGTAATTGGCATCGCTACCTTTTTGTTAAGTGTCGTCACTATCTTCTCTTGATTAATTTCTCCTCATGGTTTCTTTCCGCGTCACACTGGAGATGGCCTTACCGCCCATAAACCAGTCAGCCGCAACACCCCACCACAAACCAACCAAATCAAAGATCACTTTAGATCCCTGAAAATTATCGCCGAGTCTAAACTTTATCCCTGAATCACAATATCAGATACTATAATGCATCCCTCGACTCCCAAAACCAACGTAAATAGAAACCCAAGATAGTTTGGATGGTGGTTTTGACTGACGTGGCATGGACAGGGCACTTAAACTTTAAAAAAATGTGGGACCCACGTGTCAGTGAGTGTTCAATTAAAAATAAAGAAATTACAGTTGTTACAACTACGATAAGGCCAGGCCAGCGATCGATCCAATTCACAGCTAGGGTTCTACCTATCGGATATACTCCCTCAGCTCGTAAATATTCGATGTTGTTGTTGACTTTTTTAAATATGTTTGACTGTTCGTTTTATTCAATAACTTTTGTAAAATATGTAAAACTATATGTATACATAAAAATATATTTAACAATGAATCAAATAATAGGAAAAGCTTAATCTTTTTTGAATAAGATAAGCGGTTAAACATTTTTGAAAAAGTCAACGGCGTTAAAATATTTAGTGACGGAGGAAGTATATACTACCTCCTTCCCTAAATGTTTGACATCGTTAACTTTTTTAAACATGTTTGACCGTTCGTCTTATTAAAAACTTTTGTGAAATGTGTAAAACTATATGTATACATAAAACTATATTTAACAATAAATCAAATGATAGGAAAAGAATTAATAACTACTTAAATTTCTTGAATAAAGCGAACGGTCAAATATTTTTAAAAAAATCAACGCGTCAAATATTTTGAGATGGAGGGAGTATATCGTCTGGAGCTGCTGCGACAAAGGTGACCGTCGGCGCCACCGCGCGCTCCTCGATCGTCATCCGCTGCTGCTCGCGGCGTCCCACCTACGACAGCGAGCTCTCTCGCAGCCGCAGGCAGGCGCAACGCTTCCTTTGCTGGAGCTCGTCACGACCTGTATATGGCGCCGCGCCACCACCTGCTCGCCGGCCGCATCGTGCTCGATCGTCCGCCACGGCGACGTCGCGCGCGACGAGCTAGGCTGGCCTGACGTACGCCTACACGCGCGCCGGTGCCCGAGCCCGACCCCCCCCCCCCCCCACATCGACGACCTCGCCGGCCGAGAACTACGGCGGCGGCGGCGAGACTGGAAGGCGTACTACTGTACTTGTGCGTGTCCCCCTACGTTGGAGACAAATTACTCCCTCGTATGACGCCGTTGACTTTTTAACCAACATTTGACCACTCATCTTATAAAAAATTTTATGCAAATATAAAAATACTAATGTCATGCTTAAAGAACATTTGATGATAAATCAAGTCACAATAAAATAAATTATAATTACATAAATTTTTTGAATAAGATGATAGGTCAAACGTTTATAAAAAAGTCAACGACGTCATACAGGAGAGAGTAGTTTATTAAGATGCATGCGCGTCGATTAGGAGAGGTACGGCCGCCAATAAGCTCAGCTAGTAGCTTCTTCTACCGCGTACCGCCTCGCATGATCGAGGACCAGATCGAGAAGACGACGACAGGGAGTGCATGCATGCAGGAGTACGTACGTACGTACGTAGCTGGTCAGTGTCGTACACGTACTCCCTCTATACTCGTAAAAAAGAAAGTCGTTTAGGACAGCGACACGATCTCCAAAACACATTTTTGACTTCTTATTTCTATAAAAATATTTATTAAAAAATGATATATGTATGTTTTTATGAAAGTATTTTTCGAGACAAATCTATACATATAGTTTTTACATTTTCAAACTCAACAACTTGGGAGTTATTCATGATTTATATTCCCAAGATTTAACTTAAACATTGTTCTAAACGATTTTCTTCATGAGTACGGAGGGAGTACGCTGGTCGGCTGGCTCCGTTCGGTCGCAGCCCGCGCGGTGAGGCTCTACCTCCAGCGAGCAGAGCACCAGGCCCGACCCGCCCCGCCCGCGCACGGGGTTTATCGAGGCTTCAGATACGAGAAGAAGAAGCGCATGAAGCCGCAGCCTACCGACGCCAGCGACGTCGACAAATTAGGAGACCTAAAGTGGACTTATTCCTTAAAAAAACACTTATATATATCCACAATATGATAACAGAGTATAAGAGTTTATCGCCATATTAATTGTTGCTGAGATGGAAATGAGAGAGAAAAGAAAAAAAACAGAAGCTTTATTATTTAAGGGCATTCCCAATATAAAAACCAGATATATATATAGTAAGTCATTACTAGCTACATGATAAGAATCATCGTGACCGCGATAAATAGTACAAGTACGAGGCCACAAGAGTACTATCCAAAGCAAGCAAATAAGTTAGTCATATGCATAGTATTTTCCGACACAGGGAAATCGTGGTGTTCGTCAAAGATGCAGCTAGATTCACATTACCAATAGGGGATGTTTGGTTGCTTACTAATTTACCAAACCACATGTTAGACAAAAATGAACGGCTAGCAAAATGTTAACTACAACTTAGCCAAAGTTAGAAAAAAAAATAAGTGTATGATATGTGGAGCCATATATAGAAAATGTATAGCTAGTCACAATTGTGTCATCAACTAAATAAGTAGCTAAAAAACTGTGGTATGACTAACTTTAGACGTGGCAAGTTGTAGCGTGCAACCAAACAAGCCTTAATATTCAGTTTTGGTAATATATATGGAGAATGCCGTATATCCTCTAGTGCAGCATAGTGGGGCCCACTGGTGGCAGGCATAGCCAGCCCAATTGAAACGGGGTACAAGCGAAATGATGAGCTCAATGATTTAAATAAAATATTAAAAAATAACAATATACAAACAGCTAGTTATTAATTAGGTAAAATTTATTATAGAACATTAAAGTTTGTGTAATTTGCTGCTAGGCATCGTAAAAGCGTGTCAAAGCTGAAAGACACTCTTAAAAAAACTGGTAATTTGCTGGAGAACACTTTCAGCTCAATTGTAGATTGAAAATCTTCAAAAAGACAAGAATACCCCTATGGTCAAAAGATTTTGAGCTAAGATTGGAGTGAAGATAAAATATGATGTATACTAGTGATGTACTTGGGGTAATGGTAAATTTAGAATTACATAATTTCTAAACTTTTACTCTAATGTTGTGTTGAAGCATATGATTCTAGGGGCATTCTTGTCTTTCTCAAGAATTTATCTTGTCAATTGAATCAAAACAGTCCTCTAGAAAATTATCAGTTTTTAAGAATATATTTCAGCCGTGATATGTTTTTTCGATGTCTATCAGCAAATTACACAAATTTCAGGTGTTATGTAGCAAAATTTGCCTAATAATTATATATTTCTTCTCATTCATCTTTTTCTGACGAGGATTATTTTCGAGCCAATGGCTGGTAGCTCTATTGATCTTTAGTCTAAGTGTGATAGAAAAAAATCCACGTGCATAACTGTGATAGACGAACAAGCCGTTATAATCTATTTTTCATCTTGAATTATAGGACTGGTTTTTTATTCTAACTTTTAATTTAGAACCAAAAATACATCATAAACGATGGTTTTCACCGCTATTATAGTGATTTTTGGCTAACATAGGCTTTATTAACTAGGCCCAGTTCCATGGTTATGGACCTAATTAAATGATACTTCCTCCGCCCTAAAATATAAAGGGTTTTGGTTTGATGTGATACATCCTAGTACTATAAATTTGGACTAGAAGACTGTCCAAATTCGTAGTACTAGATTGTGTCCCATACAACCTAAATTCCTTATATTTTAGGACAGAGAAAGTATCTGCATTAGAAAAATATGCAAAAGTATTATTCTAGAAAAACAGCGTACATTTCAAACAAAATCACTACAACATATGTAGAAGGTGAAAAACAACCGCTATTGTTGTGCAGAGCGAAAAATGGACTGAGTACAAGGGACTTTACCCAATCATGAGCTCACCTCGTAGAAGTACGTACGTATATAGGTCTTGTTTGGATCCTCCGAGCTATTAAATAGCCCTCTGAAATCTTGCTATTTAGAAGTATTAAACGTAGATTACCGACAAAACCGATTCCATAACCCTTAGGTTATTTTGTGAGACGAATCTAATGATGTATATTAATTCATGATTAGCGACTGATTACTGTAGCAAATCATGGATTAATATACCTCGTTAGATTTGTCTCGCGAAATAGCCTATGGGTTATGGAATGGGTTTTGTCACTAATCTACGTTTAATACTCCTAAATAGCAAGATTCCGGAGGGCTATTTAATAGCCCTCCGGATCCAATCAGAGCCATAGTACTACCATGCTTGCACGTACGGTTCAAGACTAAAGTGTTGTGGCTCTATCATTTTATCTATTTTAAAATATAAATATAATAATACATAAGTATAAATCTATATTTAGATTTATAGAACTAGGATTAATTAATAGAATACAGCCGTAGAGGCAGCCCACACGCGTCATCTATGGGGAAAACAATGTGATTAGCTACCAAGGAGAGCCAACATCGCCGAATCTATCCACCAATCTTAAGATTAAATGATAGCATAATTTTGATAATAACATGTTAATTTGATCACCAATAGTTTTTAAATGATAGCATAATGCTTGTGTCTAGAATTTAGCACACCTTAGGGCCTGTTTAGTAGAGCTATAACTCCTAAATTTAGCTTCAGTAATTAGGTTTGGAGTGGAGTTGTGGAGCAGCCAAAACTCAGCTTCATCTATCAAATTCATTTTGTGAGAGCGCTCTACTCAGCTCCGATCTTATTTTAGGTAGAGCTCAAACTGTTTAGGTAGGCTCCAGCTCTAGTAGGGATGGAGCTGGGGCTATACCAAACATGCCCTTAATTTGTTTTAAAAGCATCAATGGTGTGGGTGCATGACTTCACTCACCTGGTGCCTACAACTATTACCCTTATATAGGTAAGCTTTCTACATGAATTTAGTAAGATCATAGATGTGTCACTAGTTTTCATCTATTTGAGCATGTGTTAGGGGTGTATTTGTGAGGGTGTGAGTCTGTAAATATCTCGCGAGTCTGGTGTTGCATGTATAGTAGTGTATGCTGCGCTGACGGTAGTATTGAATCTACTCCCTCCGTCCCAAAAAAAAGACAAACCCGGGTTTTCGTGCCCAACGTTTGACCGTCCGTTTTATTTGAAAAAATTATGAAAAAAATTAAAAAAAACAAGTCACGCATAAAATATTAATCATGTTTTATCATCTAACAACAATAAAAATACGAATTATAAAAAAAATTCATATACAACGAACAGTGAAAGTTGGATACGGAAACCCAGGGTTTGACTTTTCTTGAGACGGAGGGAGTACTACTCTACCTACCCCATTATAAATTTTACAAATTATCTCTTAATTTTTTATATTAAAAACAACCAAATTTAAATAGATGTCCACATATAAAATTAATAAGTGAATATTTCCAAGATAGGTAACATATTTCATGAAAATATATTTTTATTTATTTGATATAATACTTTCTACTTTTTTAAAAGGAGTATAGATAAACTATTTTTTTTACTTCGGTATTAAATTTTTCACATACTTTTTTAATATCTATATCTAAGCTAAAAACTTCTTATATTTTACAACAAAGATAGTATTATGATACTCCTTCCGTCCCATATTATAAGGGATTTTAGGTGGATTGAACACATCTAGTCCTATGAATCTGGATAGACTCCGTTCAGATTTATAGTCTTAGGATATGTCACATCCACCTAAAATCCTTTATAATATGGGACGAAGGGAGTACATGTTTTTTATATCTATAATAAAGCACGTGCATTTAGGCTCTCGTGGATGTGACCCATCATTTCTGTCCAACCTCGTGACGTACAAAGATCACCATGGGCTTCTCATGCAAGTACAGATTGAATCACGAGTAATCTCACAAACCATGCACGCCGTACGTACGCATTGTCGTCGCCAAACTAATTAGCTCGTCTAATCGTGGTTTAGTCGTGCATGGTCAGCAATAGCTTGCCTAAGCAAGCTTTACAAAAAAAAAAAACGTCAGCCATAAGTAAAAGGTTCAAGTCCTCGTCATAAGCAACTAACCACCATTAGTTAGTGCCAAAGCTTATCTCCAAAACACACTGTTGATTGTCTTGTTCCATCTTAGTTCCCACCTTCACGCATGTTGCCACGCTTGCACGGCGCAGTTCGTTCATGCGAAAAAGTTTCTTTCGCCCCTCATCGGTTGCTGATGGTTGATTATGTCGTAATGACTTATTAGCAATAAAAAATAATTTGTAGGTAAATTTTTTTATACGTGTGTCCCTACCAACTTAGAAACCAATGTAAAAAATTCATTCAAAAAAACAAAATCAAATTTAAAAATTCAAATTTTGGCAACGAATTATAAGTAATAGAGCAAACAATGAGGCCCTTCATTTCCAGATAAAGTAGAGTAGAAACAGCGTTGTCATGTTTAGGTTAACCCAGAAGATGTTTAAAAAAAAGTGTTCGGTTTTGTTGTCGTGTTTTTTTTACCAAGTATAGTAAATATTTACCCAAAAAGAATTACCATCCCTGCAAAAAGAAAAACAAAAAACATGAAAAGCATCCCTCACCATCCCAATCTTTTCAGTTTTCACCCATCCGAGTTAGTAGTAGTAATTTTCAGCATGAGCTCCCTGTGAGCCCTCCTCTTACAGTTGTTCACCAAACCAACCACATCTTCCACGTTCTTCTTCTGCCACACCCATTGACTCCTCAAGTTGGCACAAGAAGAAAGGTATAGCCTCAACCAACAAGGGAAATTCTCCGCTGTCGCAACATGAATCCTGCATAGTACATATGCCCTCTCCCTGAACCCTCCTCATCTCTTTTGATGAAGAGAGGCAGGAGCATCCTCAGGTGTCCTTTTCCATGTGGCTTTCATCAGAGGGAGGGCACAAGAGGAAGGAATCGGCAGCTGCAGTATTACAGCCACATGAATACACAGAGACACAGTCCAAAGCAGTATCGCTCCTGCTCCTTGCCTGCTGCTCTTGCCAGTCGACATGCCACTCTCACCTGGTCTCGATGGGTGACTGCTACCAGCAAGCCACCACGGAGTAGTCTGTGGCTAGTAGTAGGAGCCTGGCAGGACTGCAGCAAAGAGGCAGGGACCTAGGACTGCAACCAAAAATGTACCAGATTTACTACTACATGTTACACAAGGGGAGATTGGTGAGCATTTGCCATTTTTTATGCTTGGCATAATTTTCTTTCATGGTTCACACTGGAACCCTTTTGTCAGGCAAACGCTCAGCACCTCAGAAACAATGTGGATTGCCCTCTCTTCTTTCAGGCTTTGTTGTATGATGAAGCGTTCCTTTACCTGTTTTTCGCCTGAGATTCTTTTAGGGGTTTTCTTAGTACGGTCCGGTTTTTTCTTTCACTTATGTTGTTTGATTTTTGTTGTCATGTTAGGTTTTCCTTGACCGGATCCTGTCCCCGGGAAGTTTACTCACGACTTCGGATGGTCCCAGGAAGTTACTCACGACTTTGGATGGCAAACAGGGATTCATTGTCGTGTTATTTAACCGCAAAGTCGAGCTCACTGGCACGCCGGTATAATAGAGCTGAAGCTTCTACCCTGTTGATAGCAAACATGATAAGGAGTTTGAGTCATGCGATAAAACAGGATTCAATCAAACGGATTATCAATATTCCTCACCATCCTGGATGAACAACGAATCTGCCTGTTGATAGCGCCCAATTCACCTTGTCAGTCCCGAGGGAGTTGGCCACAACATGGGTGACCCGATCATCAATTTGGTTCGTGCAAACTGCACCGAACTGCTCAGCAGTCTGCCACAAAGGATGCATATGGGGATTGGCCTCTCCAACCGGGAAAATCCGGCTAAAGACAATACGGCAACCACCAAGTATCCTCTGCTGCTCAGATGCTAGTATGCTCCGCACATCAGCATCATTGAGATTAGGATGAGAAAAGAAGTTCTTGTGAATGCGCTCAATAACCTATTTCAAGAATTCAACAAGTATGTATATCATAATCAAGTTGTATTACAATACTTAAAAGTTCAGATGTAGCAGAAACCATCATACCGCGAGTGAAGAAGCAAGAGTACCATCCTCTGGTCTTTCATCTCGATCAATTTCAAGAAGTGATGGCCCAGGAAGCCCAAACTGACGCCTGCTGCAGGGGAAATAGGTGTATCTAGAGGAAAAAAATGGAAGGGGGCCTAGTAAGATGAACCTGTTGTACTGCTGTTACCTCATGTAGCAAGAAACATTAGACAGATTCATACCTCTCTACAACAATTAAATTGTGTTTGTTGTGGGGCCAGACTCTCACAGAGTCATCAATGATCACCACTGCAGATTCCATCCCCAACACCCCATCAAGATCTTTACTTTTTGGCACTCGCTCATCACTGTCAAAAGGATCACCATCATCGCCTCTTGAGATAACACGCCCAGCAAACAGGGTTCCAGTAGGATCAAGAACCTTAGCCATCTCAGTAGCATAAACCTTGTTGCCCATTGTGTACAGATGCAACTCATAAAGTTTACTTGCCTACAGCATAAGTACCAAACAGGACAATATTCAACTCTACAGTGGAAAGATGCTTATGGTCATTTGAGAGATATCCAAGATAGCAAACCTTCTCAAGAAAGTTCCATATTCCAGGTCTCAGTTTGGTCCACATTCCCATATGATTAAAACAGAAGAGATGGCGCTCTGCCCTCTCTCGATCTTGTTCCTCTTTCTTTCGTAAAATTTCCCCGTGAATATGGTCCACTTCTATAAACTGAACAGGAAGCATGTAGTGTGTTAACAAAGTTTCAAAAAGTAAAGTTATAGGATACAAAACCAAATACCTTTGCAGAATTGAGGAGCGTGTGATCCAAATCAAGCACCAAGCAAAGTTTCCGTGCTGCAAACATCTTGTGTTGTTCCTTGATCCGCCTTGCCCTTTCCTTCTGAATGAGAGCCTTCTGCTGATCATCATAACCATCAAGGAGATGATCAACATCTCCATATGGGCTAGCAGGCGGCACAGCATCAGGTGCTGTTACAGGACCAGTACTTGTTGCAGCATCATCATTAGATTCATTCTGTCCAGCAGCTAATCTTGGATCTGCCTTATTTACACTACTTGAAGTTTGCTTTGTATTGCCATGAGGAGGCATAAGTGCTGTAGCAGCTAACTGTGAATTTGAGACAGGATTTGCATTCATGGTGACTGGCCGTGCTGATGATGTAACAGGTAGAGAAGGCAATGCAATAGCCTGAAGTTGCTCTGCCTTTTGGTCTTGGTTGAGCAAATGGTCCTTGCTGCTCTGAGAGTCTGGCGGAGCAGTTCCATTGCTTTTGGCTTGCTCAACACCAACTGGAGGAACTGTATCGTTCTTCTGCACTATGTTACTATGGAGTATGCGACGAGGATCACGTGGTTTCATACGTATAACTCCAGTATCATTTTGTGAGTGCTACACAAAAAAGCATTTTTAAACATAATATTAGTACGAGATCCTAAATATTATAACAAAAGGATTTGGAATTGGCATTAGTAACACGGTGGTTCACCGTGGTATGACGCACAAGCTAATACGACCTACTCATAATAAAAACTTAGTTTTACCTCATTTATGTCCCTTGATATGCATATAATATATATACTTCTATAAAAAGAGTTGGCAATAATGCAATATGATCACTGTCTCCACACAACAAATTGAGTTGGTGGATTCTGTTAATGGATTTTTGCGTGGGCATCTCAAAAGTTCTCCATGACTCATTGACGAGACAAAAACTATGCATGCAAGTGTTTAATATAAACTTTGTGGATGCAGTTTTTTCTAACTTATGGCATGTTTATTTGAGATCTTTTGCAAACTTGCAAAGCACATGCCATTAACATCATATGGTATATAAAATTGTATTTGAACCCATTAGGAAGCAAACAGATAAATTGTAAGTACAAACAGAAAACACAGGTGCACTAGTAAGAGAGTTACCATGGGAGCTGACTGCATTGGAACTTGTGGTCTAACAGAAGGGACTGCTGCAACTTCTGTGGTCTTTGGAGCATTGCCAAGTGGTAAAACCATGCCAGGAGTTACATTACTAGTCATGCCAACAGAAGCAGTTACCTTCTGCTGAGGTTCTGATGCTGACATCTTCTGCTGTTCCATTTGAATCCATTGCATGAGCATTGTTGGATTGACAGCAATGTCTTTTAACATAGCAGGCAATGAAACAGCAGGAGCAGAACTGGTTTGCGGAGCTGAATTAGTTTGGGGTGCTTGTACAATTCCAGGACTAGTTCCACTATTATTTGTCGTATTATTTAAGTTACTAGCAAGTGTACTATCTGTCCTGATATTATGATTTCCAGTTGTGTTATTTCCAAGTCTTGTATTTTGATTTGGCTGAAACCCATCACTAGAATATGAGCTAATATTACCTCCATCTTTAGCCCACCCACCTCGACCTGTAGGTTGCATATCTCTCAGGTTGCCAATGACACCCCTAGATCTTTTTAACGCGTTCTCATCCACCATAGGTTCATCAACTGCCTTATTCTTACGGCTATTGATTGATACTCCACCACCCATGGTCCTATCTTTAGAAGGATTTGGTTCTGCAAAATTCACACGTCGGTTTGCATCTGCAACACCACCAGTATCACGATTTAAAAACTTAAGCCTTGGATCTCTACTTTTAGCTGTAGCTTTTAGCAGGTGGTTGGATCCTGAAACAGAGTTTTCAATCTGTTTAGCATAACCTGGTGGACCACCTGCAAAACTGTCACTGTTGCTGCTAACTGTGCTAGGTCGAGAGGGCATCTGATTCACAATTGGCAACGCAATCTTGTTTGAAGCAGAAAAGCTCGAAACTTCACCAAATACATCACCCCCTTTGTCTCCAGATTTATCTCCATCACCAGAAGGAGTTGGACTTGGTAGATCATCGCTTGCAAAGTTAGACTTCTGCCCATGCTTCTGTTGGTAATAGCAAACAGCCTTCAGTGCATCGTTAAAGGATTGATACGAAGAATTCTTCGCAGGCTCAACTCTTTCTAGAACCGATGGTCTGTCAGGTGCCATTGGAAGTGCTCCATATCCAATGGGCTTTGGCACATCAAAAGGTGGTTTACTATCTCGAGTTGGTGAGGGTAAGCTGTTTTCGTCATAATCTGCATGAAGATCCAACAAGGGGCTAACCATTCTATTCTTTGCTGGTATTTCAACCTTGCTAAATGAATTTCCTGCTCCTGATTCAAATGGTAGTCTCTCTGATAAAACCTGACCAGATGGAGCTGCAGCATTAGTTGAAGTGGCATTTGGACCATTTGCATTGTCTTTTCCATCCTCAAACACTAACTGCCTCACACGGCTATCCAGCTGACACAAAGCAAAAGAAAAATAAATGAGCATGCTACCACAGCCAAAATTAATAATGGCAGACTCTAAAACCACAAAGTACAAGGTTTACAAACCTCATCTCGTTGGTCAGGTGTTAGCATGTCTGAATATCTGTTTTTTATGTGGAATAACAACCTACACATTCAGACGAGAACATTTTAGTTTATGCTGCAAAGAACACATAGCACATTAGTTCTCAATGTGATTAGAAAAGGATGAACTTATATTACTTAAGAAGCATGTTCTTGGTCTGCTCCCTCTTCGGCATGTCATACGAATTTGCCACCTACAACAATGCAACAACTGTGAGCTTTACAGTCCACAACACAGAGCCAAGTCAACAGTCGGTCTTACGGTGGTAATGGTGTCGATTCCAACAAACGCCTGCTGCACAAGGGCATCAAGCATGGGCATTGGGCTCCCGCTCTCTGGGAATAACGGCTTCAGGTTCTCGAAGCACGTTCGCAGACGCGTACATGCACCCTCAAACGACCTACAGAACATCAGAATCGGGTCCCTCAGCAACTGAATCATACACCAAAACACATCGAGCACATGAACTTTGCCATATAGAAGTATCATCAGTCCATACTTCTCAGCTTCCTCAATGGAGACCATCTCAAGCTCCTCGAGTATACTCCCCACACGCTGGTCAAAGTCCACTTCCTCCTCCTCAGCACCGGCCGGCGCGGCGCCACCGCCATACATGGCCACCATCGACTCGGACTTCTCCGGCGCGTCGGAGTCCAGGTCGATGGTTTCGGGCGGCTGCGCGCACGGCGGGGACGAGGAGGAGGTGGTGGTGGTCTGCACGGCCTCCCCCTCCTCGATCTCGCCCTCCTCCTTCTCCTCGTCCGAGGTGTCCACGACGTGCTCCACCTCGTCCTCGTCGGCGGCGTCGGCGGCGCGGGGCACGAGCGGCTTGTTCTGCACGGCCTGCGCCCACGCGAAGCTGTGGAACGCCGGCGCGTAGCTCCGCGGGATGTTGTACCCCATCCAAACCCTAGATCTCTGCTGCGCCGCGGCCGCCGCCGCCGCGCCGCCGGCGGCCGACGACTCCTTCTTGAAGTCGTCGGCGCTGATCTCCTCCAGCGACCCCGACGAGTCCCCGTCGGACCCCTCCCCTCCCCCTCCCCCACCGCCGCCGCCACCCGCCGTAACGAGGTCTCCCCCGGGTGCCACGACCGCCGACCGCGGCCGCTCCCGCGCCATGAGCACCACCAGCCTCTCCTCGTCCTTGGGCGTCACCGTCACACGCATATGCCGTCCCTCTCTCTCCCTCTCCCTCTCCCGCCTCCGGCGACCGCGCGCCTCCGCAAAAATCGAGTCGAGCTCCCGTTCCACGCGGCCAAATCCGTCGACCCGGAGCTCGATCCGCAGCGCCCCGCGCCGCCTCCCCGACCAAATCGCCGCGCCGCGCCCGTGCCCCCGCCGGATTCGCCGGATTCCGCGGCGGATTGGCGCCGGATCGGAGGCGCACGGGGGGAGGGGGAGACAAGGCGATGCGAGATTTGGGGGAAAAAAAGAGGGGGGAGATGGGGGGGAGTGCGTGGGCGGGGTATTTATAGGGACCGGCCGGGCCCGATCTGACCGTTGGTGTTTGATTTGGACGGCGGATGATGCGGACACGTCGTCGCGATGGGGGGTTTGTTGTAGGGGGGGGAGCACGAGGTGGGGGGGGGGGGCGTATCAATGCGGTACACGGTGGCTGGCCTTTAGCTCGTGTGAGTACATTCCTTCTGTGATGATGCAATGGTTGTGTGTGGTTGGTTTCTTGTGTTATCCATGTGTTGGATGCTGTATTCATGCTGGTTTTCGTGGGAATTTACTGTGTTTTGTGGTTATTGTTTTACGATTTTTTTTCTCTCTTCATGCAGTTTGGGAATTGAATTCGCCTCCCCGTCACGCAAAACGAAATACACATTATTGTATGATTAATTAAGTATTAACTTTTTTAAAAAAAAATAGATTAATATAATTTTTTAAAACAACTTTTATTTTTTTGCAAAATACACATCGTTTAGCAGTTTGAAAAGCGTGCGCATGGAAACGAGAGAGGTGAATTGGGAAAACTGGGGGGAAGAACACGGCCTAAATAAGCATTGTGGTAATGAATTTGGATCTTTGTTCTTAAAAGATGAGTTCTGCCTAGCTTAGGGTAAACCAATGATAAAAGTTATTCGAAATGACTTAGTTAAGTGCGCACTTCAATCAATATTATTTGATATTTCAGACAACAAAGTCATACTAAATCGCTTATTAATTTTGGGCTTATTTGGAAGAGCTACATGCAACTGCACTATGGCAACAACCTACAATAGCTACGATGGCTGCAAGGGCAGTGTAGGTTCAACCGCATGACATTGTGACACGCTCACCGAACGGCTGGGTTGTACAACTGTAGCCTAGAAATTATTGTTTAGCTCTTTTGAACCACACCTTTTTCTCTCTTCTTTTTTTTTCGGGGGGGAGGGGGAGGGAGAAGGGTTGGGGGTGCACCATTATGCCTTAAACATCGTATAAAAGTGATTGGAGGAAGTGTGGCTAATTAGGATGAATTCTAGTAGGGGAATGATATTTTTCGGGGATATACAAAAGGATTGTGTGCTTTTGTATTAAGATGAATAAAACTCATACATGTAGGGCCAAGCAAAAGAAAAGCCAGAAACCAAAAGAGGGGGAACAAAAGATGAAACAGAAAAGAAAAGAAAGGACTTATATATTAATTCTATTCTCACGAAATCATTTGAAACGACCTAGCGACATAAGCAATATACTAATAGTGCTGGCAATGATAGTGAGACAAGATACTGGAGGTCAGCTTCCCGATCCATTGCTCCACCGCTTCCGGCAACAAAATGAGTGGACTAATAGAATACTCGACTATTCCTCTCCTTCCAAATGGACCAAGTTCTAAGGGTTGTGATTGTGTTGAAGCCGCGGCGGCATTCCATGTGCACTTTCTTTCGACTAGCGCACATCCATTCGTTGAAAGAGGAGATGTCAGTGGGGAAGCACTAAGGAAGGCCGAGAACTGAGAGAACAATCCACCAAAGCTAGAGAGATTCAGGGCACTCGTTCGTTTCCTCAGGCTGATCGTGCGGAACGATCAATTTGTGTAAACTTTGATTGTTCCAAATAGGGTCATAACGGATTTGGATCATGAAATATACTTCAATTTGCTACGGTTTAGGGTTTACATGTAACGAAATTTCCGAGAGAGATATTTCCAATGGCATTTGTAGAGTCTACATGTTGTTAATTAGTTGGTTAGAGATAAGTTAGTACTATTAATATTGAATTAGACTGGCCATACATAAACGGCCCCAAAAGAGCAATGATATCATGAACCCCTTACATGTGTGATTGCAATTATTCTTCCTTTATTTTTTTCAGCTAAATATATAATAAGAAATTTTGCTAGCTATGAAGCGTAGATGCAATGCAATCACTCCTACAAAATTGATTTTTCTATACAAGACCGTCTTTAGGTTCTAGACGGGTTATAAGTGCTCTCGTCTACAAAAATCATTCCCCCGTGATAGGTTTATGGGCCACATGCGAAAATTGATTTTCACAGAAGGGCCTCTTAATAGACCCACGTGTGAAAATAAGCGTATTTTCGCATACAGACCTGTTAAGTGACCCGCACACAAAAATAGCCATATACCCACACCCATCTCTCCCCACTCCTTTTTCTTTTCTCCCCACCTCTATATTTCCCGCATATATATTCTCCCCTTCCTACTCCTCCCATCTCCCCTTCCCACTCCCCCCCTCTACCCACTCTTGACGAGGGCGGCGGCATCGGCGAGGACGGCGACTGCATCGACTAGGGTAGTGGTGGCGGTCTCCCGGCAACCGTGGGGAGAGCGGATCCGTCGTCGGCCACCACGGGGACGACGGTGGCAGGCCTTGGGCAGGGCGTTGACGACGACGGCGGTGGCGGTAGCGTTTTCCCGGCAATGGCAGTGCCACGAGAGGAGCATTGGATCCACAGCCGCTAGGCCTTGGGAGGCTAGATCCCTCACCGACGACCCCGGGGACGACGGCGGTAGGCCTCGGGTTGGACAACGGTGGCTGGATTAGGGTTCCAGGGCTAGGGTTTCGATTTTCGGGGCTTTTTTGTTGTAATTTTCTATTTTCGCATGCGGATGACTTAAGCGCCCTCACGCGAAGTTAGATTTTCGATTTTCGCGTGCGGGTACGCCACCCGCATGAAAAAATCGAATTTTTGCAGACCTTTTCATGCAAATGGATGGAAGATCCGCACGCGGGAATACCGTTTTGGCCGTATGGAAAAACAAATTTTGTAGCAGTGAGTGCTGCCTTTCCTATACGAAATTTGTACCATAATAGCCCCTTTGTGCTTGTTTTGATTGCTCTGGTGGTGGGCTATCCGTCCAGTTTGTTTGTGGAATTTGTTGCGTTAACCATTGCTTCTCTTATAAACAAAAACAAGACGCTGTAATTTTGGTCATTATTCTACGCAGGTGACAATCTGACTCAAAACTATTGAGGATTTGGCATTTGTCTGGGGCCACTTTTGTTTAGACGTCAAAGTTGACTCGAAACCACCATGTGGTCAAAGAAATTTTTGTCCCAAAACCGTCAAACCTCTCATTTTAGGTGCCTTTCCTAGGAAGATGCGAACAAATTTGCACTGAACCTGCATGTGAGAAATGTGTGTCTGTATAGTATATGTGTAGTACTACATATGGTGTGTTTAGTTTGCGAAAAGAAAATTTTTTGGTGTCACATCGGACGTTTGATCGGATGTTGGAAGGGTTTTTGGACACGAATGAAAAAACTAATTTCATAACTCGCCTGGAAACCGCGAGACAAATTTATTAAGCCTATTAATCCATCATTAGCACATGTGGGTTACTGTAGCACTTATGACTAATCATGGACTAATTAGGCTCAAAAGATTCGTCTCACGATTTCCATGCAAACTGTACAATTAGTTTTTTTTATCTATATTTAATGCTCCATGCATGTGTCAAAGATTCGATATGACTTTTTTGGCAAAAAAAAATTTTTGGAACTACACAAGGCCATACTTAATGTCCAATGTTGACACATTATATAGCTCGTCAAGTAATGTCTAATGTTCTTCATACTTGCTGATTCATTCCCTAGACCTTTTTAAGATACAGGGTACACCTAGTAGATCTCGGAATACAAGAACTAATTGTTGTTCTCTGTAAATGCTGTTTGAACAAGGTAAGGATCGAATCCAAACAGTGCCGTGTGTTACACTCGCCATGAATAATGAATAAATGAATGAAGTACAACCTGGTACTTACCATGTTAGGAAAGCAGCCCAAAAAGGGACTTCATGTCATTTCCATGTTAAGCAACCAACCGAACAAGAATACAAAGGGTGTGTTCACACTAAAATTGAAAATTTGGTTAAAATTGAAACGATGTGATGGAAAAATTGAAAGTTAGTGTGTTTAGAAAAGTTTTGATGTGATGAAAAAGTTGGAAGTTTGAAGAAAAAGTTTGAAACTAAACTCGGCCAAAGATGGACAAAATCTGGAGGAGAAAAACGAGTAGCGGAAGCCAGACAATAACCAAATTATAATTTGGCCAGGCAGACATTACTTTGCTTTATGAAAACCCCATCATCTAAAATTTAAAATTGTACCGAACAAAAAAAAAACGGCAGCAAAAGTACATAAGTAAACTAGTACTAGTAGTAGCAATCAATCGAGCAACCTAAGTGACAAAATTGTTCGAAATTACACGCAAATACACACCGATCGATGACTAGAAGCGCAAAGAATCAACTTCTCTCTGATGACAAATGTGCTACTCGAGCTAGCTAGACTGACGTCTCTTCTTCATCAAACAGAAGTGGCGATGGTTTCAGAGCAAGAAGAAGAAGAAGAAGAAGATCAGATTCAGGCGGCGGCGGGGGGCTTGCCGCCGCCGCCGGCGACGAGCTTGTCGATGAGGTCGGCGGCGTCCTGGATGGTGGTGATGCTCTGGGCGTTGTCCTCCTCCACGGTGATCCCGAACTCCTCCTCCAGCGCCATCACGATCTCCACCGTGTCCAGCGAGTCCGCTCCCAGCTCCGTGAACTGCGACTCCGGCGCCAGCTTCGCCTCCTCCCCCAGCGCCAGCTGCTGCTTCACTATCTGCATCACCTTCCCCACCGTCTCCGCCTTCGCCTAAAATCTCGTCAGGTTCAGAAAAACATTCAGACAACACAATAGAAATGCCCCATTGCATTGCATAGTTAACATTCAGACAAAGAAAGAAAGGCACATTGCATTGCATCATTGAACATTCAGACAAAGAAAGAAATGCCCGTTGCATTGCATCGTTAACATTCAGACAAAGAAAGAAAGGCCATTGCATTGCATCATTGAACATTCAGACAGAGAAAGAAATGCCCATTGTATTGTATCGTTAACATTTAGATAAAGAAAGAAAGGCCCGTTGCATTGCATCATTGAACATTCAGGCAAAGAAAGAATGAAAGAAATTAAAGGCCATCTGCATTGCATCACTAGCGAGCGAGTTACCGCGCAGAAGACGCGGAAGCGAGGGGATCTGAGGGAGACGAGGCCTCTCCTTGCTGTCATCGTCTTCATGGAGACCAGGTTTCTGCTTGAAATTCTGCTTCCCTGCAAGTTTTCAGATAGAGTGGTGCACTGTCACAAAGAGGTTTGCACTGACAGATTAACCAGAGCTGGAGTTAATTACATCTACATGAGCCCACTTCTGGATATAATTCTTATGTAAAGATGACATTGGCAGTTTGGCAATAGAAACTAGATTGCACAAGATAAACCTGTAGGACATGCATGGCGCCATAGGTCACATATGGGACATGTTATTAAAGAAGGGATTGAAATTCCCGGTTTTTAATTTTGGTCATACACTGGAAAGAGCACAAGGAAACCTTCAAAGAGTAGTGCAACAGTGTGCTAAGAATTGTAAGAGTGGTAAACCATCTTTTAAAAAAAAACATAGAAAAACAACAACAAGTTTTTAGCCTTTAGGGTTAGGGCAGGGGACATGCTTTCTTAATATTGTCATGTGATTACTGACTAGGCCAAGAGGATTTCACTCTTTTTTGGCTTCTTTTCAGAACAAAACTTTATGTATATTATGCATGGTTAGGTCAAGTAGCCCTCAACATTATTCCCCTTGTTAAGCAGCTGCAGAGCAAGAAAGCAGACACTAACCAACCAATGCCTTTGCTGCCCCACTTTATTAAGCCCCTAATGACAACACCCTTTGTGGTTTTGTACCACAAACACCCCCATTATCTCGAGATTAGAAAAAGAATAGCCGCAAATTATGCAACACTCTCACCACTACCACTCTAATCAAGAAAAGAAGCAAATCTACAGAAACAATTTGTAAATAAAAACCTACAAATCGGAAAAGATATCTACTGTAGTAAAGAACAGCAGCAGAAATAACTCTGTAACAACTAACAAGCTGCAAGGCATCAGAAAGTGCAGGGAAGTCATCAGTTCTTCACCTTCCAGCTACCGAGCGCCGCCGCCGGCGGGCAGCCGAGCTTGGCGGAGACGACGGCGGACAGCGCGGCGGCCATGGCCGGAGGCGGAACGACGAGGAGGAGGAGGAGGAGGAGGAAGGGGCTGGGTGCTCGACGGAGATGGAAATGGGAAGAGTAGGAGTAGGATTAGATGAGGGGGATTAGTAGGGGCAAATGGAAGCTGACGTGGCGTGACCGTGGCCGCCCGCTCCAGCTCATCCCCCCTATCTGCGCGTGTGGGCCCGGTCTGACGAGGCGGTGACATGTGCTGTGTACCGTGTCTTTTAGAGCAAGTTTAATATAATAGCAACTATTAGCTCCAAATCATTTATAACTAATGTAATAGCCAATTTATACAATAGTTGTTTATTATACTATTAATATTTGGTCCTACCTATCATACACATATTACATCTTGAAGTCGGTACTGCAGCTGACTATAGATCTATAGCCCGCTGCTCTTCTCTCTCTTCCTTTATCTCTTTAAAATATATTTATAACTGGTTTATAGCATGCTATTATACCTGCTCTTATACTGTAGCAAGCTCAACAACGATTGAATTTACTGTTGAGTCTCACTGCAATTCAATGCAGAAGAGGTTATTGTCGCTATACGGCAAGTGCAACGACAAATTTAAGCTAAGATCATCTCTAATAGAATGTGAATTTGACTCTCCACACTAAAATTTGATCAACATAGAGAAAAAAGAAAGCTATACAATAGATTCTTTATTCGAATGGCCAAACGTAGCTAACCTCCTCCACTAGCCTAAGGTGTGTCCCACCCCCCTCTCCCATCTCCCTCCATGTTCCTACACCACCTCCTCTATCTCTTGTCTCACCCACAAATAGGCAACAACACCATCGTCGTCAGGGCTACTAACCGCTATGGATGTCGTCGTCGTCTGGCGTCGGCCCTCATCGCGCGAAACAAAGCCCTTGTGTCACGCAAAACAGAGCAATCGTTGTGAATCCGTCGTGTGAGCCACGGCTGACGGAGCGTGGGGCTCCTCACCGGGAGACCGCGCAGGCCCCCCTTTGCCGGTTCGGCCGGGGACTCAGGGTGAAAATCTAAGCTCTCTGGGAATGGAAGGTTCGCGAGAGTCGAAAGAGCATAAGACACGGGCGACGTATACAGGTTCGGGCCGCTGAGAAGCGTAATACCCTACTCCTGTGTTTTTGGTGGATCTGTGTATGAAGGAGCTACAAAGTATGAACCAGCCTCTCCCTTGTTCTGGGTTCCGAATCTCCCCCCGTCCCCTCTCTAAGTGGGCAAGGTCCTCCTTTTATATCTCAAGGGGATACCACATGCACCCTCTCTCTCTTTCCAAACTGGACTTGCCTTCTCTTCATAAATGGACGGAGATTTGTATGGTTGCTGTCCGAATGACCTTCTGATGGGACGGCACATACCTACCTCCACTTCCGCCGGAGGCAGGCGCGACGTGGGAACGTGGCTGTCTGCTGACGACATGACCAGTGTCAGACTGATCACAAATCGGTCATTCTTGTCCACGATGCGTCAGCTTAACAGTATGCATGTTCGCCCTTCTTCACACAACATCTTGCCTGTAATGGTTAGGATGAAGCCTGGCGTATATCTGACGGGGACTAACGTGCCATCTCTGGGAGGTAACACGCTAGCTCTAGCTGGGGACGCGTGCCTAGAAGCTCTCGTCCTGACGGGATGGGGCGAGGCGTGCGTCAGACCGCCTGTCGCCACCTAACCCGTGATCTGACCGGTCTGTGACTGGTCATAGACCGGATATACGAGTGCACTGCACTGCGTTACATGCGGCGTGACACGCTCAGCCAAACCGCAATAAATGCGGTTAGGTGAGCCCCGCTGTGCTCACCTAACCCATACACGCGGAGCAGAACCCACGAGGGGTCGGGGCGCCTCGGCCCTCGGGGCCGAGGCGGGAATGGTCCGACCCCCTCGGGGAGACTAAGAGGAGGGCGAACACATCACCCTCGGGCCCGACGTCCCCCGAGGGTGCCAGGCCACGTGGGCGATTGTGTCTGCCTCAAGCCTCTAGTCATGATACTCCCGGTCCCATGTCGCCGACAGTAGCCCCCGGCGTTATGCCAGGGCGATCGCCCTCTTCAAGGGGAGCGGTCGGGCGTGACGCCACTCCTAAGGCCTGGTGACAGGTGGGACCGGTCTCCACAATTGGGCAGAAACCCAACGGTCACAAATTTCGCACATCGGCAATGGTAACTCGGCTGTCAATAATGAGCGGTCTCTTCAAGACTGCCACATTACTCGAGTAGTACACGAATCTGGATGAGCCGATTCGCTTTGCCAGGAGATATGGTAACGTCGCTTCGGTCGGCGAGCGTAATTAACGCGCGCACGATATGATTTATCTCGACTGCCACAACCGCATATCCACCTCATGCGCCGCAAGCGGGCGAATGGGATTAGTGGAAGCGAGGGCGCGAGATACGAGGGGGCGAAATAGTGGGCACGAGAAGCGAGGAGCCGGGCACAGCGTTGGCAAGAGTATAAAGGCACTGAGGAAAGGATCTGCTTCCTTCCTTTCGCCATCATTCCCCTTGTCTTCGCCGCTTGCACCCTAACTCCTTCTTTCCTGTGTCCTACCTTCGCCACACGCGCTCGCTCTCAATCTTCTCTTCCTCCGGCGCCATGGCACGGGGCTCCGCTCTGCTCGATGGTAGCGTGCTGCCGCCTTCCCGCATCGTGAGCGAGAGGCAGGCTGGGCTGCCACGCCGCTTCATGCCGGAATCTGCCACCGGCCGGGAGATAGTCACGCTGGGCGAGGGACGCCCGGCGCCAGTCTACCCGGGGCGGTCCGTCTTCTTTCTCCCCTTTGCAATGGCAGGGCTGGTTCCGCCATTTTCTTCTTTCTTCATGGATGTTCTGGAGTTCTACGATCTCCAGATGGCGCACCTCACCCCCAACGCGGTGATGACATTGGCCATCTTCGCGCATCTGTGCGAGATGTTCATCGGGGTGCGCCCATCCCTTCGGCTGTTCTGGTGGTTCTTCACCGTGCAGTCGGTGTCGCCGCCGTCGGTGGTCGGTGGCTGCTACTTCCAGCCGCGGAGGCCGGTGTTGAACCGCTACATCCCCTGCGTCCTCCGCAAGAAGTGGGATGACTGGAAGAGCGACTGGTTCTACACCCCCCTCGCCGACGAAGCGCGCCTCCGACTTCCGAGCCAGCCCCCGGCGCAGGCCTCCAGCTGGCGGGCGCCGGTAGATCTGGGAGATGGCTATGACGCTGTCCTCGACCACCTGGCGGGCCTGTGATCCCAGGGGCTCACAGGGGCCATGGTGTACGGCGACTACCTTCGTCGCCGGATCGCGCCGCTCCAGCGGCGCGCCCGGGGCGCCTGGGAGTACACCGGGTCCGAGGACTACATGAGGACCCACCAGGGGGTCAGATGGGATTGGGCTCCTGAGGACTTCAAGATAGTGGTCCAACGGGTGCTGAATCTCAGCTCCGTGGAGGCATCCCTCATTCCCCAAGGAGTCCTCCCCCTCTGCAGCGATCCAGACCGCGCCTCCATCCTGACCATCATGCAGGCGGTCGGGGCGTCGGAGGAGCGGGCCCCTCGAGGCCACGATGGCGCGGGCGGGAGCCGTAGGGGGGAACAATCTACCCCGAGAGGGGGTCGTGCTTCTGGGCCCCGCGACGGGGGCCCGGGGAGCAGCCGCCCTGCCGACGCCCGGGGGAAGAGGAAGCAGGAAGGAACCTCTTCCCCATCTCCTCCCCGAGGGGGCGGGGCGGCGCGTGTCAGTAGCAGGCGCCCGGAGGGGGCCGCGCCGACATCGCAGCCCGAGGGGGAGCGCAAGAAGAAGCGGCTCCGCAAGATGGGGGAGACAGAACCATCTCGGGGAAACCTCATTTCCCCTCCAAAGTGGTCGTTTAACCGACCCCCTCGCAGGTTCGTCTCTCACCCATTGTGGCTGTATTCATTCTCTTAACACGAGTTTTCACTCACCCATCTTGTTCGTCTTCTGGTCTTTTCTTCTGTTTCAGCGAGATCCCGTCGCGTCTCTCCCGCCATTCCAAGTCCGGCCAGTCTGAGGCCGAGGATCCGGCGGCCGCAGAGGCTCGGAGGCGGGAATCTGACCGGCGAGAGGCCGCGGATCGCCTACGGGAAGCCGAGGAGACCGCCCAGGAGGCCGCCCGGGCTCGCCAGGCCGAGGAAACCGCTCGGGAGGAGGCCGCCCTAGCCCGCCAGGCCGAGAAAGCCGCTCGGGAGGAGGCCGCCCGAGCCCGCCAGGCCGAGGAAGCCGCTCGGGAGGAAGCCGAATTTCGCCAGGACGAGGCAATGGCGACTTCCGAGGCAGCTCGCGACGAGGTCGCGGGCGCGTCGCTTGGGCCCACTTCCTCGGGCGACGCTCAGGCGACAACTTCCGGGGCAGCTGGCGACGAGGCTGCGGGCGCGTCGCTTGGGCCCACTCCCTCGGGCGACGCCCAGGACCAACCAGGTCCGAGGGACATCCCCGAGTCCGGCACTTCCATCGGCGGCCCGAGCCGCGTGGCATCCTCTCCAAGGCGGCTCTTCCCCACGCCTTCTATCGCCCCGCTGAGCGCAGAGCCCCTTCTGCAGGCCTTGGCCGCCGCAAACACCGTGGTGTTGGACGGGTTAAGTGCCCAGGTGGAGGCCCTGCAAGCTGAGCGGGCGGAGCTCGACGCCGCATGGGCGTGTGTCAAGGAGGGGCGGCCCTCGGTGGAGGCCATGGTGGAGGTGGGCCGCAAGGCACACCGCCAGCACGTCTCGGAGCTTGAAGCTCGTAAGACGGTGTTGGCGGAAATCGCCAAGGAAGTGGAGGAGGAGCGGGGAGCTGCCCTCATCGCCACCACCGTGATGAACGAGGCGCAGGACACCCTCCGCCTTCAATACGGGAGCTGGGAGGCGGAGCTAGGGAAGAAGCTCGACGCCGCCCAGGGGGTGCTTGACGCTGCCGCTGCCCAAGAACAGCGGGCGGCGGAAACCGAAGCGGCGTCCCGACGGCGCGAAGAGACCTTTGAGGCGCGCGCCATGGCGCTGGAAGAGTGCGCCTGCGTCGTGGAGAGGGATCTGGCGGACCGCGAGGCCGCCGTCACTATCCGGGAGGCAACGCTGGCGGCGCACGAGTCTGCCTGTG